GGGGGGATACAGCAGGCGCTGGAACTGACATTGCTGCAGCTGGGAGTGGAGCGGAAGGACCTAGCCCGCGTGCGCCGCGACCTGCATGGCAGCGCCTTGTGCCACACCCACCGGGTCGTTACAGCTCGCAGGGCGCTTGAGGGATCTGGGCGGAAGCGGCGCCGGCCAGGGGCACATGCGGTGGCCAGGACGAGGTAGCGACGGGAACCAGAACCCATGCTGGATTGCGAGCAGCCGCGAGGGTCCCGACTCTGTCCGCTCAGAGTCATAGACGAAAAGTATGTGCGCGGCGACACCGTAAGGGGCAGCCCAAGGGCGTCACCTGAGGGTCCCTAAGCGCCCAGTGGGGGGCCCCAGGCCCCCCACACCGGTGGGGCAGCGGGGTAACGGGCAGTTGCCCTGACCCCCGCGCCCGTCCTTAAAACATACTGGGTGCCCAGCGCCCGGTCCACTCTACTCTACTCTACTCAACGTTTGCCCAGGGGACGGGTGTTGACAGCGAGGCAAAATGACATCGGCCTGAGGTAGGCAGGTGGAGTTTAGGGATTACAAGGTGCCCTCATGTCCGAGTGAAGATTTAGCCGGTTGTTTGGCGCCTAGGCCCCGCCGGTCGGGTGGGGCACGCTGCGGCAACTGGGAGAGTGCCTTGAATGGCCATTCAGGGCACCCTTAGGGTCCCACCAGCCGCCGCTTTCGCATGATGTGCTGGTGCCCGCCCAGGCCATCGACCCCCCTGCTTGCCCGGCCCCTGGTTGGTCTTGCCCCCAGTAGGTGTCGTGCCAGGCACAAAGGGCTCCGTGCTGCGCGAGCCCAACTGCCGTGCGTGGGGGCACACCATGCTGCGGCTGCTGTTGGGCAACGTGGACCTGCCCACATCTGCGGCGTTTGGGCGCGTGCTGCTGTAATGATTGAAGATTGCTCACGCGGAGCGTGAATGCCGTTTGGTAAGGTACGGGGCGCCGGCAGTGCATCAGCACTGCAGGGACGAGGCTGGCGCCTTTGGTGGCAGCTGTTGAGATGCTCGCAGCTGCGTGTAAGGCGGCGGGGGGGCCCAGCAGGGCATAGCACTCCCAGGGATCACAGGCCCCTGATCCCAAATGCCTGGCCTCGCAGGCCCGCCCACCCTTGATTCATGAGCATAGAATTGGGTGCGAAACTGCTCTCACGCCCAGCAGAGCAAGAGCAAGCAATCACGGTGGACACAAGAAGTGATGGAACAAGCGCAAGCGGGCAAACATTGCATGCACGTACATGCTCTGATTTCAAGCGGCGGGCAGGGGCGGGGGCAAAGCCCACTACTTCCGCCCACCGCCCTACTCACAGGGCACGCCACGTTGAAGCGGCTGCATGCCGTGTCCCAAGCTCAGCGGGCGCACCTGCCTGCAACAAATCCTTGGCTGCTGGCCACACAAGACCAAGCCGCAAACGGACAATTTGGTTTATTGAAAGAGCACGCGGTGCCAGGAGGTGGGCAGCGAATCACAGCCCGTCATGCCAGCAGTCTGCGGGGAAAGACGTACGTGCAACGCAAGGGGTGGGGGTGACATGCTTGGCATCTGGCACAGGCAATGCTGGCTGACGGCTTTCACCACCTGGCATCAAGGCCTCGCTGCAACAGCAGCTCCGTGAAACCACCCCGGAGTGTCCCACCGCTGGGCGGCGCGGAAGCAGCTTTAGCCGTTGGGGCGGGGGCACACAGGCCGCCTGAGCACCCGAGTGGCACACACACACACACACTCAGGACAGCCGGGCGCGCGCCCACGCCCTGTTGCCAGAGGCAGGCCCGCGCAAAGCAGAACATGCCCTCTCACCTGCCGCCTCCTTCGCACACTAGACAGCTCACAGGTCGCACCCGCCTCCCAACCACTGCTCCTTTTGCTCTGCTGCCATCAGCCACAACGCAATGTGAGCAGATGACCTGTGTGCAGGCAGCTCTCGTGGCGGCAGTCTGCAGGGCGATAGGCGCACGGCATGCTGTCGGGGCGACACGCATGGTATTTGGAACCGGCCAGAGTCGCCAAGGCTGGCGCCACCCATCCTTTGGGCAAGGCCTCGCTGCAGCCGCAGCTCCCGTGAAGTCCATGTCCCCTTCCTGGCGCAGTGCACCCCCAGCAGATCCCCGGGCACCTTGCTGCAGCTGCAGCGGCACCTGCACCGTGATGCCGCCCCCGGCGCAGCAGTCACTGCTGGCAGCGATTATGGCCAGGAGGTGGGGGTATGCAGGCCGCCTGAGCGCTTGTGCAGTGCACGTTCACAGACAGCCGGGCGCGCAGAGGCGCCCCATGCCCCACTATGCCAGCCGCAGGAAAGGGCGCGCGCAGCGAAACAAGTCGCTGCCGTCTCTTGCGGCCCGGTGTATACACCGGGTTACGTAACTCTCTGCAGCCCGTGCCTGCGCTCCTGTGTTGCCTCCTCGCCTCTGCCTGCCTTCCAGCCAGCCCAAACCTGCCGGCCAGCCCCCGCCAGCCAATCCACGTCCACCAGCCAACCCCCGCCAGCCAGCCCACCGCCTGCCACACTACCCCTGCCAGTCCAAGTGTGAGCCGTTCATAGCCGGCTGCTGCGCCACCCAGGCAGAGGCAGCGCTGCTAGCGCGCGCCACCCGCTGCTGAACACGCTTTACTTGACTGCCCCAAATACGCGGACCCGCGCGTCGCGCAGCCCTTTGCACCCTTGTTCACGAACCAAATGCCCTCATGCGCGCCTTTATGCGCAGTGCCGACCAGCAGACACTTGGGGCCTCTGTACACGCATGCTTTGAACGGCGCACGGCAGCCACTTGAATCCCAGTCACACATTGCTGATGCTACAAAGTCACATCCCATGAGCCTGGATGGCTCTAGGAGCGAGCGACCGCGGGATCTTGTAACAATCCTGATCCTAATCCTAATCGATACTACAGTACCAGGTACAATACAGCAGTCGGCTGATGAAGAACAGTGGGAAACCATGCAACACGCTGGAGAATTGCAGTGTATGCACTGCTTCACCTGCAACTGTCGCGCCCCCATGCACACAGGAATGGCCTCAAGGCATGCGAGTCTGGCTACCCGGACTCGTGGGCAATGGCCTTCAGCAGGGAGATTATGAACGCGTGCAGGTCCGCGCTGCCACCTGCTAGGACCTGCCCAGCAGCCCGCCGCACTGCTGCTGTGGTCAGCACCCCCGGCCCCAGCTGCAGCAGGTCCAGCTTCTCCAGCAGCGTGACAGCTAGGAGGTACTGGTCCAGCTGCTCAGAGGCCTTGTCCACCTGGAATGCTGCTGGCAGGTCTGATGCAATGTGGCTCAGGGTCTTCTCGTCTGCATCGCCCCCAAGCATCCTAGCTGCTCCGTAGTCTCCAAGCACAGCGCTGCCATCATCCTTCACAAAAATGTTGGGCGCCTGCGGATCATGCCAGGGGGCGGAGGAGCCAGAGAGGGGGTGGCAAGAGGGGTGGGCAGGGTCCGGAAGCTGCAGTCATGGTGCCCAAGTCACTGGCGAGGCAGGTAGTAGGCAGGCGGGCAGGGCAAGATCAGCTGGTGCTGCTGCTGCCAGCAACTGCTGCTGTTGCTGCTGCTACTGCCTGGGAGCATTCATGCAATAGGGTTACCTGCTGGGCTGCTGCCTTTACAAATTGGGAGCATTGTGCAACAGGGTTGCCTGCTAGGATACCGCTGCACTCCTGTACTGCTGCACGCTGTGCCGCTATTGCCCTGCTGCAACGCACTGCCGCACTGTTACTGCTGCATGGCTGCTGCTACACTGCATGCTGCAGACTATTCATGGTGCGCTGCACTGTGTCATCAGCAAGACGCACAGCATGCCCACCTTCACATCGCAGTGCGCCCAGCCGCATTGGTGCATGTGCAGCAGCCCGTCCAGCACCTGCTTGCCGATGACCAGCACATCCTGGGCAGGCAGTGGCTTGGGCATGTGCTGCAGCGTGGCTGGGTACAGTGGCATCTGCAGGCCCAGCCTGCCTGCTTGTCCAGCACTGCCCTGCAGGTGTAGTGCACCAGTGAAAAGAATGAAGTAAGGCTCAACAGTAGGCCAAGCAAGAAGGCATCATGACCTGCATTCATCGTACCGAGTAGCCCTTGTGCTCAACATGTCATGTGGCCGCCATAGTGGGGGAGGTGCAGGAGAGGCTTTACGAGAAAAAAATTCAGACCCATGTGGACCTGGACCCACCTTCAGCTGCAGCACCTTGATGGGGCCAGCCAGGCCAGGCGGCTTGGGGCAGGTCTGTGTCAGCGCCTCCCACACAGCCGCCTCATGCTCCGCGCCCTCGTGTGAACGGATCTTCAGCAGCACTGGCACCCTGTCCTTGAATGCGTACACAAGTGTAGACCTGCTGACCACATTGGGCAGGAAGTCGCCGTTGATGAGCAGGCCGCTATGCTGCCGCGCAAACAGCTTTGTAGATGACCCTGGCAGCTGTCGTGCACGGTTGTACACCCACTGCGCCTGCTGCTTGGTGTGGGCCAGCTGGATCTGTGCTGGTAGCAGCTCAAAGGCCCGCTGCAGGATCTGCACATCCAGCGGCTTATCCAGCAGCCCTTGGAAGCCCTCAAAGGTCTGTGGGATCCTGGGGCCTGTGCAGTAATCCAAAGAGCGGAAATTCATTTCATGAGCATGCAGCGCATTCGCCTCGCGACATTGGCATGTGACGCAGCAGGCAACGGCCGTTGGTGCCAAACACGGCCCTATTGTGCACGCTGTATGGCCATGTCGGCATCGAAAGCACACAAGTGGGGCACAGGCGGCGATGGCAGACACCATTAGCAATGTAGTGCGTGCAAACAGGCTGCTGGCTGGCAGGGCGTCCATGTGAGGCTGCGGTGGGTTTTGCAGATGGGTCATGCACAACTCCACAACAGATTTTGAGGCTCAGCATGTCATGTGCTAGTGTCAGTGCCCTGCGTACGCCATGTGCGCAACCCAGCCGCATGGGCAACCAACCAACGGCAACCAGGACTGCTGCTGAGATAGTTCATGGCTGCTCCACGAGCAACTACCGCGTGATGCAGGTTGGCAGAATTGCCACCATTGCAAAACCACGCGTGACCCACCTGCTGCTGCTGCTGCTGCTGATGATGATGATGATGATGATGTGGAATGATGGAGGAAGCCCGGGTGAGAGCCATGGAGGGTAGAGAGAAGAGCGCAAAAGGAAGGTCAAGCAGGCTTGTGGGCACAACACGAGGCATGCAGCACAGCTGCGGGGCTGCAGAGCTGCCTGCTGCCCTGGAACCACCCAAGCATGCCGTATATACAGTGCTGCCCAAGCCTGCTGTGAGCCCCGGTGAAGCGTCATGCCCCTGCTTGTTGCAAAAGACTATCAGCAGATTACAAGCCAGTTTGCTGGCTGACTGGATGCATGCAACGCACTGCAACTGGAAGTGGCGAACTGGTAGCTGGCATGCTGCACATGGCGGTGCATGCGGTTGCTATTGACAACTGGGACTGCTGATGCATGCTGCTCCACAAGCAACGGCTGGGGACACAGAGTCAGCAGGCTTGCCACTAGCAACATCGCCAACCCTGGCAGCATCTCACCTGCTGCTGTGGACCATTTGCAGAGGCCCAGGCAAAAACCGTGAAGGGAAGATGCGATGAGATTGCAGGGTGTCAGGACAGCCAGGAGGTGATGGAGCAAAGCATGTGTGAAAAGAACAAGATGGGACGGGGATGGATGCAGAGCATCATCATCATCATTACTACTATGTGCCAGAAGCAATATGCGGGTGGTGTCAGCATGGACAATCGGGATGTATGGATGAGGAATTGAGCACAAAACACCCGTGCTTGCAGCTGTATTGCCCACAATGCTCGGTGGCGGTATTGTCTGTGCTATTCAGGTGCAGCTGGGTCTTCAACAGAAGTTAGCACTGATCATCGTCCCAATCTACCCCAACCAGCAACACTGCTGTGGCCGAACCCATGAAGCCCGAGCCCCTCCAGTTAGCCGGAGGCCCCAGCCAGTTGTATGGATCGTGCAATCACATGAAGCTCACCTGAGTCTGCTGCTCCCATGCCTGAATTGCAGCGATGGCAGGGTCGTGGACAGCGAAAGACGTCGCATGACCACCGTGCAGAAAGCCGACAGGTGGTGGAATACAACATGTGCGAAGGCAGGGGCGGAGGGAGCGAAAGCAAGCTTCACTCAGCATGTGGGCAACTGCATGATACGACGGCTGGACACAAGCAAGTCCTCAGCACGCCCTTCAAAACACTAAATGAAGCAGCTTTCGCACACATGCACACCAGGCACCTATAGTACGCGATGCACAATGTGCATGCCGACCCATGCATTGTGCAGCTAAGCATGCATTGGGCGCCTATGACTGCAAATGCTACACACCCTCGCATACGAGAACACGACGCCAAGTCGTACCTGGCCGGAAGGACACGACTGCATACGTGCCTGCCCGCACAAAGAATACCCCACACACTCCAAGTCGTCACCAGCAGTGTTCCGCAGGGATACAGCACCGCTACCCGTCAGAGCTGCCAACAAAGACGACGCAGTTGCGCCAAGCGCAAACCGCCTGCCATTGACTTCACTGTAGCGCTGCCATGCATGGGAAAGCCATGGGTCGGAAACCCACCTGCAGCAGCTTTTCTGAGAACGGCTTTCCGACGGCGTTCGTTCATGGTCATGTAGGCCTCGCACGTAGCGTCGTCAGCGTGGATGAACATCACCGTCATCGCGTCCTTGTCTTCTTCGCAAACATCATCCTGGGTGTCCACCCAGCGGGTGAGCTGCACCTTCGTTCGCAGAGTCCGCCATGGCACTGAAGATGCGCGTGGATGATAACGCACAGGAAGGCACGTGGAGGGAGACTGAGTGGCAGCCAAACACGACGTCTGCGCAAGAACTGGATATTGGAGGCACCCACGCAGCCTGCAACGACAAATAGGGGTAGGCGTGCAATGACGTCTTGGTTCCAAGGTTGTAATCCCAGGCCTACCCAAACCCCCAGTGCTGCAATGAAGCCAACTAAACAGATAGGGTCCGCAACTTATGGAGCACTGGAGGTAAGTGTTGGACACTCCAGTGGTAGGAGGACTGCACTGCATAAGGTGGGTACCAGTAGCGCGCCACTAATCAGGACCCAGTCACGCTCCTACCTCGCGAACAAGTCAATCCCCTTCAATTGTCCACCGCCTACAAAGTTGCCAAGGGAGTATGCGAGGAAGGGAATTTGCTCAAGGTTGGGAGGCAGTAGCAGGTGCATTGCACGCACAGGGATGGGCAGGAGACAGCCATGCAAAGGTGGGATGCACATTGGGTCCATCCACCAAGCAGAGGGCCCCAACAGCGATGTGGTGCCTTGCCGTGCCGGCGTCGACCACCCCACTGCGGCATGCAGTGCCGCACCAACCCGGCCTGCGCTTTCACCTCGCTGCAGCTGGGCGACCCTCAGCCTCCTCCTGAGGCAGGTTGCAGGGCAACATAAGGACAGGTGTGGTCGAGAATGCCAAAATGAGCTGCTCGAAGCACCCGGCGCTGTGCTTGTGCCCGGCGTTGTGTAAGGTCGAGCATGTCGAGACAAGGCGCACGCACGTGCAGCAACAGGGCCTGGCCTGCACCGCCACTGCGTGCCGGTGAGGCCGGGGCGGCCGCGCCGCATGCGCGCCAGCCGGCGCGGGGGGGGGAGGGGGGCGGGGCTGTCAGGCGCGCTCATGTGTCCCCACCAACGCTGCTGCATACCTTTCCACGACATCCAGTGATGCGATGTATGGAAGACCAAGCAAGGGATGCACTGAAAAGGAAGGCGGATGCGTTAGGAGGCAGCGGTGCAGCGCTCAGCCGTTGTGGCGAGCACGCTTCGGTACGCATGCCTCGGGAGCGCCTCCAAACAGAGCAAAGGCAGCTCCAGCAGGGACCCAGGGACCGTGTGCAGCGCGCCTGCACGTGCGCCTGGCGAGCTGCCCGGGAGACAGCGCGCGTGAGCGACGCGCGCTCGCCCTTCCGCAACGCGCCTCCCGACCACCCCTCCCGCGCTGCAGCAGCGCAAACAGATATAAGAAGCCACATACGCGGCCTATCCGCACCGGAGCGAGCAAATCACGCGATCAGCGATGAGTGCCTCCCGGGCGGAGTCACCTGTGTTGTCCTGTGCGCGTCGCAAGCGTATCGTAATGTTTTGACAATTTCTATTTGAGCGAGCTTGCTTGCTTTGGTTGGCTGGTTGGCTTAGCGCGAGTGACACAGCTGTGTTGGCCGGGCGTAACACAAGCAGGCTAGCAAGCAAGAAGGCTTGCAGGGAAGCAGACAAACAGCAGGCTGAACTTACCCCCCTGGTTTCGCACCCGGTGTCATGCCAGGCACGCAGAGCCCCATCTGATACTGCGCAAGTTCAAACGCCCCGTGCAGGGGCGGGCGCACCATGCTGCGGCCGCCGTCCTGCAACGTCGGCCTCCCCACCTCAACTTAACCACAAGGATCGTGCACACGCTGCTGTAATTTCTGAAGCTTGCCTGCGCGGAGGGCGGATGCCGTTTGGTAAGATACAGGGTGCACTGCAGCTCCTCAGCACTGGAAAGACGGGGCCGGTGCCTCTGGTGGCATCTGTTGCGATGCTGGCAGCTGCGTGAAAGGCGGCGGACACGGTGGGCGGTACGAGCCGCCAGTCGCGTGATGTATGTGCGGCAAAGCGTGCGCCGCCCGCATCCTTAATTTGGGCACAACGTATTTGTGCATGCGATAATAACCAGGTACAACTCTCCCAGGCATCATAGGCCCCTGATCCCGCATGCCTGGTCCCGCATACACCTCGCTGGCCCACCCACCTTTGATTCATAAGCCCAGAATTGGGTGCGGAACTGCTTCCACGCCCAGCAGAGCAAGAGCAAGCAACCACAGCGTACACAAGAACTAACGGAACATGCCGATGCAGGCAAACATCAAATGCTCTCAATTTCAGGCGGCGGGAAGGGGGTGCAAAGCCCACTACTTCCGCCCGCCGCCCTACTCGCAGGGCACGCCATGTTGAGGCGCATGCACACCGTGTCCCTAGACTCAGCGGGTGCACCTGCCTGCCACACATCCTTAGCTAAGCTTAGCTGCTGGGCACACAAGCCCAACAAAGTTGGAGGACAAATGGACAGCCGAATGAATTGGACGCGTGTTGAAACTACTCACCCTGCACACACACTTGGAATCGTGTGCATACTGTATCTGCACACACACTTGGAATCGTGTGCATACTGTATGTGCTTGATGGTGAGGCCTCGGACGGCGGCGTGAGCAGCCTGCGCGTTGGTGCTGCTGTTCTGCTCTCGCGGCTGCCAGTATTCTTTAAAGTCACTTGCGGCCCCTTCACCGCCTCCAAATGGGGTCATTTTGGACTCTCTTCACACACTCCAGGTCAGCCCGGTCCTCAAGGTCCAACGTCGACATCTCCCGCTGCTTCCTCGCTGTCGGGCTGAAAGCAGCGTGGGCGCTCACCGCCCCGGCCGGGATTTCGTTCCATAGCTGGACCTCTGCCGTGCCCCGCGTTGCCTGTTTGCTGCCGCCTGCGGACGTGTGCTTCTGCAGCCATTTGACCTGTGTGTTGCAATGCTACCTTGATCCAGCGACTGAGGTTGTGCGCGACCGAGGTGTGCAGTCATCCGCATCGAGCTGAACAGCCTACACCAGTACGGTATCCATCGCTGCAATCACGTTTGAGTATGAGATCTCAAAGACAAACATACCGTAGAGCACTTCGGCAGCTGCAAGCAGTCGCGAAATCTTGGATCCACACGTCACTTGTCGGGCAAGCCGTGCGCTTGCCTGTGGACCGATATTATGATCAGTTGCGTCGGGCCCAGCTGCACTGGTTCAGCAAAACCCCTTGCTGCTTGTGCAGGCCGCCCTGGAAGCGTGCCGCTGGGCGCACTGCGAGCCCGTGCAGTAACTACGCATGCAGCAGCTGCGCGGCGCAAAGCGAACCAACCTGACAGCAGTGGCGCGAAAGATGCAACCGCCGCCGACGGCGCGACCGCCCTCGCGCCGAAGCGCTGCGCGCGCGCCCGCAGCGCCAAGGGTCCCAACGGGCGCGCTGGCAAGGCGCAGGCCGCAAACCCAAGCACCGCGGCGGCGCAGCCCTCTGGATCGACAAAAGGCGCCTACCTTGGCCGCCTGGATGCGCGTGTTGTGGGCTGCGGGTTCATGAGCAACCCCGGAGAGCTGGCGCCCGGCGCAGACGCGGCCCTTGTGCGCGAGCCCAACAACCCCTACGACGGCAACGCAGTAGCGGTCTACGACGACTGCGGGCTGCGGGTGGGCCTCTCATCGTCAAATCATTGTTGGTCATCATCTTCTGCCTTCTCATATACGGACGCAAGGCTCCCTCGTCTGCCACCACTGCCCACAGCACCGACAGCGCAATCGTTCCGAGCGGCCGACACCCGCCCGCCCTCCACTGTCCGTGCTGCTGCGCGCCTCCTGACCCCGCCGCCGCCGTGGGACCGCCCGCCGCGCCTCGCTCTCCTCGATCCTCCTCATTCTCAGGTGGGGTACCTCCCCAAAGAGATGGCCGCCCTCCTGGCGCCACTGATGGACGCCCGCACCCTCCACGCGTCGGCTGCAGCTGCGCCAGAGTCCGACCCACGGACAGCGGAGTTCGCCCCCCGGTACTTCGTCCCGCTCGACCTGCACTTTTACGGCGACGGCCCGGAGGCGCCGGCGGCGTGGCGGGCTCTGCAAGAAGAGGCGCAGGTGCTCTACCAGGGGCTGCAAACGGCCTGATGCCCAGGCGGATCGCTCGATATCATGGGATTGGTCTGCAGAGCAGTGCAGGCCTGGCAGGCACTCTGCCAGAGGGGAGCCCTTATCTGGGAACTCGGCTTAGTTTGTCACTGCTCTGGCCCTCGCTCTCTCACATACGGCTGGCTGTTCGCTCCACCAGTCCGCTGGCCCTGCCACACCCGCCCTCGCGATCACGCCGTCACGCCCGGCGACTGACAAGCAGGGCTTCACGCCTGACGGCCGGCTGGTGCGGCGCGCCGACGGCCGCTGGTACTTTGACTTTGGCAAGCACAACGGGCGCAGCGTGGCGTACGTTGCAGAGGAAGACCCTGGCTACTTTGACTGGCTCCTTGGGCGGGTGGGTGCGCCGGACTGCGTCCTGATTCGGCCTCCTGGATCGCCCCGTGCCTTGACGTTTGCGAGCATGATTCGTGTTTGGTGCTGCGCTACCGCTACTTCTACCAGGGCCCTACAAACGCGGTGCTCACTGATATGTTCTAGAGGCTGTGAAGCGGGTTCTGTGCATGCATGTGTGCCTCTCGGTGGGTTCAGTAGCCTCTCAAGGCCCTGCGTGCGGCCAGCTCCGTCAGCCAGGCTGGCTGTGCGCCGTCTGCGCAGGCGCTGGGGCCACGGTGCCCATGTGACCCTAACACGGATTCTTAGGCGCCCCATGCTGCTGGGCGGCTGACCCGCAACGCTCGCAGGCCAACCTGCCCACTACCCTGTGCGATCAGATACTGGAAGAGATAGAGAACATCTGAGCCAAGACGGGTAGGCGGGCGGCAGCTTGCAGCTCGCGACGGCTGCACCTGCCCATACTTCATGCAAGAATAGTCCTGGAATGCGGCAGGCTGGGAAATGCACGCGTGTGGGTTGTCAAGCGAAGCGGCCGGTACGGTAATATGTTTCTTTGCACATGGACGTGAGTTGTTGCACTCTATCTGTTGGCTGCACAGATATGCATACATGCATTGCGTTCGCGCTTCCCTACTGTAATGTTTTGCAAATACACATCAGAACGATGTAGCTGGGGGCTGTTGGTGTCAAGCCGATAGAAACAGCACCAAGCACTTGAAATCTCCAGGTGGAGGTTGCTTGGTGCTGCTGTCGTGGGATCATGACGGTGATAACATCCCAAACAGGCATGCACACTCCGTGAGGTATTTCTACACAGTGGTGCATCAGAAATGTGGACTAGTGGGGAGGCAGGGCAACGAACTCACACGGGTTAGGCCATTGATTAGCTGTGTGGCAATCGTCGTCTCGATAGCTGCGTGGCTAGTGCTGTGCGCACTTTAGAAAACGCGCAAATGTGAGGCAAGGTGCACACCAACCTTTGATTTGATGACTTTGAACGGGTTGCGGCCCTCGATTTTGTTCATCCATTGTCATGACGATTGCGCGTCCTGGGGCATTTTCGTTGATCCATGTTTGACCACGCACCACGTGTCAGTGTCGGCGGCCGAGATCACTGCGCAACCTCTCAGCCCTGATGAGCCTAAACAGTGATATGATACCGTATGGTTCATTTCAAACATGTCGTAGAGCACGCCTCCCACTGCATCCAGACGTGTACTGATACAAGCAATCATTGGTGGAATCTGGCCACGATTACTGCCACGCCAATTCGTATGTATGATTACAACACATACAGGCTGTTTTGACTTTCATGACGCAGTAACGCGCTCTTCATGGTCAGAAACGGTCCTACATCGGAGCTGCGAGACACTGAGACAGCGTGGAAGCATCTCAATACCACGCACAGTGATGGAAGCGAACCTGAAAGGTGTCACCGCGGCGGCTTTCAAGGCCAGCCGGGAGGCCGGGCTGCAGGTGCGCGACGAAACGGTCCAGCAGCAGCGATTGCTGCGCGCCGCAGTGGCAACCCACACGCCACACACGCACAAACCCGCTGTCGCTGCAGAACATTGCAATGCAAACAACCTAAAAAACCCAGGTCGACACATTGGAGCTTGCTTATGCTGCTGTGCTCATCGACCAACGCTGCGCATGGCGCCTCAGCAGCGGCGCCAGCAGCGGCGGCGGCGGTGACAGCGGCGCAGCATCACCAGCGCTGGACCCCACGACCGGCCTGCTGGCGACGCCAGGGCTGGGGAAGGAGCTGCTGTGCCAGATGGGGCAGCACGTGGCTGCGCAGGTGACGCAAATGGGGCCGGGAGAGATGGCTGTGATGCGGCTGCAGGTGCGCTGCGCGCGTCAAAACCAGTCAAACCTCTGCTGCTGACTGGACTCCGCTCAGGCAGCTGGCCGTCCCTCGGTTATGTAGCCACTTGGCACACGCGCGATCCCCTGATGCTGCGGAGTTTGAACATGGCCGGCATGCAAATGTCCCTTCCTGCTTTGGTGTTGGCTAGTATTGTCGCCGTTTGTTTGGCTTGGTGAGCTCTTGCCTGGCTCCAGAAAGGATGCATACTGACATGACGCACTCCTCCCTCGGGCATCGCAGATTGCGGTCGCGTCGGCGCAGGAGCAACAGGCCGCTCTGCTGCAGCGCGAGCAGTCCGCCCGCGCCGCGCGCCTCGCGTCGCTCGCGCGACGCGCAGCCTCCGTCTGCGCGGCCGCGGCGTCGGGCGACGGCGCGGCGCCCGCATCCACAAAGGATTACGAAAAGGCGTTTGATGCCGCGCTCGATTACGTAATCGCAGCAGCAGGCTTGGCGGCCGCCGCGCCAGGCACGGACCCCGCCGCAGCAGCTACAGCGCGCGCCGAGGTGTCAGCCGCGCTGGACAGCGCGTTTCCGCTATCCGCCATCGCGCGGTGGGTGACGCTGCCGCCGGCGGAGCGGCTGCAGCAGCTGCAGCCGCTGGCGCGCCTCACGCTCGGGATTTGCCTGTACAACGCATCACCAGCGGCGGGCAGGGCGCCGAGCGGCGGCAGTGGCGGCGTCTCTGCCGGCAGCAGGCGCGGGAGCGGGGCCGGCAGCAGGCGCGCCAGCGCGAGCGCCAGCGCCGGCGGCAGTGGCGGCGGCGGGCCGCTGGCTGCGGGCGAGGCGATGCAGCTGCAGATGGGGGCGCGGCTGGCTGAAACGCTCACCGCTGCAGAGGCCGCCGCGGCCGCGGCCTTCACCCGGGCAAACCGGCGGTCGCGCGCGGGGGCCGACGGCGAGGGGTGTGTGGAGGAAGAGGGCCGCGGCGGCTGGGAGGCGCTATTTTGCGCGCAGGCGGCGACGAGTCTGCGGCTAATGGCGGCAGACGCGCGGGACGGGCTGGCGGCGTGCAGGGAGCTTGGGGGCGCCCTCGAGGGCGAGCTGGGGGAGGTGAGTCTTGATGGCACGCTGAGCGCTTTGTCTGGGTGTCTTGGTGTGTGTGTGTGTGGGGGGGGGGGCGGGGCGCCACAGCATTCGATGCTCCTGCCCCTGACCTTGCTGCACCTTATCTTGCTGCACCTTATCACCCGCAACCCTTCCCGCCGTGCGGCCGCAGCTGCGGCGGCTCGTTGGCGGCAGTGCCGCGGTGTCCAAGGACTCGGTGTTCCCAAGGTTTGAGCGCGCTGGGGCGCTGAGGCTGGCGCTGTCAGAGGTGAGCGCTTGACGTGCTCGTGGGTTGCGGGCACGTGCTTCGCAGGCCAGGGCGCGGCACATTGCCGGTACAGTCGTCGAAAGTGAGCTCTTGTATGTATCTGCTGACAGGTTGTGCCCGCCGGCTAGTAGCAGGCCGAGTGCAGCTGCCACGTCCCTGGTCAAACGGCAACTCAAATCATGCCGCACGCAGGAGCTGCGCATGCTGGTTGTGCGCGAGCGCATTTTTGAGGCGACAGCGGCGGCCCTCAGGCGCGCCACAACGGACGCATGCTTCCCCAACTTGTTGGCGGCACCGCCTGCGCCCGCCAGCCGGCAGCAGCCCGTGCCAGTTGGTGGCGCTGCCAGCGCGGAGGCGGTCGAGCAGCTGGCGGGAAGCTGCCAGGCGGCCGACCTCAACTACGTGCCGCCCGAGAGGCTGGCGGAAGCCGCGGCAGAGGCAGCTGCGCAGGGCCTGGCAGTGATGGGCAGCAGCCATCCGCCGCATGGCCTGCAGCAGCAGCAGCAGGAGCAGCAGCAGCAGCTCCTCAGAGCAGAAGGCGACCAGCGGCGAAGCCGGCAGCCGAGCGCCGCGCGACAGCGGCGCAACGGCGGGGACCCGGGCGCGGCTGCAGCGCTGGCGCTCAACGGCTGGTGCCCTGTCAGCGTCGGGGCGGCAGCAGAGGGCGGCACCGGCGCTGCCGGGGGCTGTTTGGTCGGCTTTCTGGCGGATCCTTCACTGGGGGCCATCAGGCAAGGCGTTATTTGCTAGGAGGCACCTCAGCGCATTCCGTCATACGTGCTCGCTAAGCACTAAAAAAAGACACAAGAGTTTGGACGCTGCACTAGCTGCTTGTTTTGAACCAAGCTGGCGTGCTGTTGTGGCCTCCAGAGGCCGACCGCAGCAAACCCTGCGCCCCAACAGGGCGCGCCGCGCCCATTCCACACCGCCCGCCCCAACCCGCAGGCACCAAGGCGCCCTCTACGGCTTCAGCTCGGCGGAGGCCTCCTCGGCTTTCGTCGCCTCGCCCGCAGCAGCCTTGGACGCCCTGCGGCGCGCCGCCGCGGCGCAGCCCCTGCTGCAGAACCTCCTGGCCCTCTCGTCGCCCCCGCCCGGCGAGGCGGCGGCGGAGACGGCCCCCAGGGCGGCGGGCTCGGCGGCGGGGCGCGGCTGGGCGGCGCCGCCGCTGCGGTGGGTGCTGGGGGTAGCGGCGGCGCGGCTGCAAGTCGAGGCGGGCACCCAGACGCCGACGCACTTTGTGGAGCGGTTTGTGTCGCTGGACTACGAGTGGAACGAGTGGGCCCTGCGGCGGAGGGTGAGCAGGCTTTGAATTTCGTCGGCGCGGGCATGGACACTCAGCTTGCTGGGTTTGAGAAAGGCGGCTGGGGGTGCGAGGTGCTGTGCCCACACGTTTTTGTCTTTGAGCCTGGAGGTCATGCCAATTCCCGCGTGCCGCTAGCCTTGCAGCCAGTTCCCGCACAAACGCCACACGCCACGGGTGTGCAGCTGTGCAGGCCCCATCCGCTGGCCTCCAGGCCGCCCTTGCCACGCTCGCCTCGGTATCTAGCTCAACTCTCAACCGCCGCCCGTCGACCAATCCTCACACCCGCGTCCCCCTGCCGCCCGTCCGCCAGGTCATCGCGCTCGCCAACCTGCGCAGCAAGGCCACCCACTCCGCCCAGACCCTCCTCAGCCATTTCAGGGCGGAGGGCGCCACCCAGACCTGGGCCCCCAAGGGCGCCGCCAGCCAGACGCCCCATTCCAAGGGCCAGGCGATGCCCAAAAAGCTGCGGTACGTTGCCGGGCTCAGGGGCGCGCCGGCGGCGGCGAGGATGCGGGTCGTGAGCCTGGAGCTGGACCTGGGGCAGCCGCACCAGTTTTAAAGGATGCGGGGGTGTTGGTGGAGGGAGCACCTGGCAGATGCAAGTGATGCGCGGCTTGGCGGCTTTCTGCGACCCGCCAGCCGCACCGTGCCATATGGGCTACTTGATGCTGCCTGTATACCTTGAGCGCCTGTAACCCCTCCATCTTGGTCGTGTTTCAGTCGGCGGCCGAATTTGGATGTTACAGGGGGCAGCGGGGGGTTGGAGGGGCTGGTAGGGGTCTACTATGCTTTCGTGCGGCATGTTGGCGGGATGCAGGGGTCGGGCATGGTAGGTTAGGCTGCCTTTGTGCTGCCTGGCGGCGGGTCACCTGCCACAGCTGTAATTGTCCTGGGTGCCTGTCACAGGTTCCGCCAGGGATCGGTGGTCACGGGTCGACGAGCACCAATTTGTGAGTAGCATTGCAGCTGTGAGTGGCATCGCCTAGCAGTATCACCACCACACCAACAGTTTGTTAGGGGGCTGGGTGACGTGTGACTAGCAAAGCCTGCCATGCATAAGGAGTGCTGCCCGCTGCACGGTGACTGCCGCCTTCACTGCCCTCTCAGACTAAATCAGCTCAGAGAGTCCATGCCTAGCCAACCTAACGGTCAGGATGCATTTCGACGAGCGGGCGCTTGCTGCTGGGCAGCGCGGCGTATGTGTGCACATACGCAGGAGGGGGGGGGGTTGCTCAAAAGCCGGGCAATTGCTCAAAAGCCCGGCACGCCGTCGATGCTCACTCATCCAAGCGGCGGCGGCTTGCAACCAGCAATAATTGAAGCTGTTCTGTGCTTGCTGGTGCATCGGGGCTGATCGGGGGCCTGCCGAGGCTGGCTGGTCCCCCTTCCCACATCGGCACCATCAGTCATGGGTGCTGCTGCCGCCGCCGTGGCCGCTGTGGCTTTATTGCCCTCCTGCAATCGGCACAATTGTAAGTGTCGGGTAGCATACTACATCGCCAAAACATCTGATTGCTAGAGGTGGAAGGCCTTTCAACGTGGCGCCGCCTCAGCAAGATCACAGCCTGCCACGGCATGATCGTGCGGCATCCAGGATGAAGGCCGACGATGATTTCGACCCTGGATTCTCCTTTGAAGTTGGCGAGGCTGCCCCTCAGCCGGCTTGGGAGTTTGCAGGTAGGTTCTCGAGACAGCGGTGTGCCGGGGCTTCGCTTGCCTGAGGGCACGAGACCAAATGCGAGAGGCACCTTGCAATGCTCACCAGCGCCGCAGCAGCTCGATTCGGCTGCCTGCGCCGCCTGTGCCGCCGCCGCCAGCCGCCGCCTGTGCCGCTGCTGTGTGCGCTCATGTTCGGGGTATGCTGGCCCATGGCCCTTTCAGGCTCCCCCTCTCAGCCTGCTGCATGCGCAACCCGTACAATCCCGTGTCTGAAGGTGCCTTGAAGCAGGCGCTGCAGCAAGGCACACATGGCACGTCGATCGACTCGAAGATCCAGCAGCGGCTGAAGGCAAAAAGCGAGAAGGTGCGGGCCGGGCACTGGCAGGCTGCTTCCGCTGCCATGCATTCAGCGCCTGCGCCGGCGCTCGTTCTCCTGCAGGGTTTGGGCCGCACGTGCCGCTGCAGTGGCCGCCCCCGCTCCTGGCGCGCGCCCCAGCCCGCGCGGCGGCTGCGGATGCAGCACGTTGGCACTGCTGCGGGCGCGCAAGAGCTGCTCCCGCAACACCAGATGCCCCTTTTCGTTGCACCAACTTCTCCACCCTGCAATCCTTCGGCGCGACGCCCAGGCCGCCGGCAAAAAGCGCAAGCTCGAAGAGCTCAAGCAGCAGAAGCGGCGCCAGCAGCAGCGGCGGG